TTGGTTTTTTTGAGACAGAGTCTCACTAGGTAGTTGAGACTGACCTGGAACTCACTATGTAGCCCAAGCTGGTCTCGAACTCACAGTGATCCTCCTGCCTCAGCCTCCCAAGTGCTGGGATCACAGGCATGCGCCACCATGCCTGGCCCAGCTTTAAACATTTTGATTAACAATTGGCAAATTGAAGGTTGGGGATTTAGCTCCCACAAGGCCGCCTGCCTCACAAGCACAAGTCCCAAGTTCGATCCCTGGTATCCCCCCAAAAAAAGAATTGGCAAATTGTTTTCATTTCAGCAGTGCTAAAGATAGAACCCAGGGCTTCCCACATGATACACAAGCCTGTAGCACTGATATATCCCCACTTGAACCATTTTATGTTGCTAGTTAAGGGTATTGATTTGAAAGCATTGTTGCCATGTTGGGGATTATGTTTTTAAAAAAGTTCAATTGGCATCTGTTTTGTAATTGTAATATTTTGCAATAATAAAGTTAAATGTTTTGCTTTAACTTTTGCACATGTGGTTTGACCTGTGTTATTTGTGGGTTATGTATTTGTGAATTTGCTTAGTAGCTAAAATTTATGTACAACCCCAAAGTGAACCATCTGTAAGGTGTGGAACTGTACACCTTGAATTTCTGAACACTTGTTACCAGCCGTGGTGGAACAGTGTGGCATTCTGTCTATCTACTTTAGCATATACTGTAAGCAGATTCTTCTCATGGTGGCTTATTGCTATGAGTTTTGTTCTGTTGGTTATTTGGTAGCTTGAAATGGTTACCAGGTGTCGGGTGGAAATGTCTGCTGGTGTTCTTTAAGCACAGGAGAGCTGTGATCGGCTCACACTCCTGTGTCTCATGGGCTCATTCAGGCATGAATTAGCGTCTTGGCTGCAAGGTGATGAACTAGCAATGCATGCTTTATAAGATGCCTTTAAACATGCAGGAAAGCGTTGTGTTCTTTGGCCGATGAAGATGTTAGAACCTGGGGCTCACTGAACCCAATCCTCCATCAGCCCTGTGAACCATGTTTCAGTAGTCAGGGCCCTGGGAAAAATGACACCGTCTGCTGAGGGAGTTGAGAGGCTGTGAGTGTGGCTGGGTTCTTGCCTGATGTGCATAAAGCCATGGGTTTGATCCCCAGTAGTGGGGAAAATACTAGACAATTGACTGTGGTTGCAGTTGTCTTACTACTTGTCAGCTTGTGTACTTAGATCCCTCAGTGCCTGGCTCCAGTGTACTGATTCAGTCTGGTTATTTTGGGGTATCAATTTGTAGGAATTCTTTATATAAAATACCTGTCTTTTGTTTCTTTACAGGTCTGGGATAAAAGTGAAAGTGGAGATTGGTATTGTACAGCTAGCTGGAAGGTTAGTATTTTCACAATGATTAAAAAAATTGAAATATTTACTGTTTGATAGTGTGAAAGACTTACTGTTCAGTTTTGAGAAATTCATAAAATCTATAGGTATTTCTTTTCCTAGAAAGATATTTTACATTTCTTCCCCATTAAGTTTATTGGTACATTTTAGGCATACAATACAGTTACATTTATCATTGGGATTTTGACCTGATACATGATATATCTTGGTTCTTATTTTTCCCCGTTCCCCTGACCTCTCTTTATCCCCTCCACCCTTCCCTATTTACAAGGACTTTGTTTCCATTTTTTTCCCCTTTTCTTATATTTTTCTTTTCCTTCTTTCCTTTTCCCTATCCCTCCCATTTCCCCTACCTCTTTAGACCTTTTCTTCCTATTTCTCATTATCAGTTATACATTTCTGTCCTTATTTACACTTTTAGTTTTTCATATCAAAGAAACTTTTGTATTTGCACATGTGTCTCCTATTTTTTTTTTACTTAAGAGTATGGCCTCAGCTGGGCATGGTCGCATACACCTGTAATCCCAGCACTTGGGAGGCTGAGGAAGGAAGATCACTGCGAGTTCAAGACTGGCCTGGGCTACACAGTGAGTTCCAAGGCAGTCTGAACTACATAGTGAGACCCTGTCTCAAAAAAAGGTATGGCCTCAGTGTGCATCCATGTAGCTACACATGTCTCTAGTTTCTCATGCTTTGTGGCTGAGTGGTGCTCCATTTTATAGAAAAACCACATCTTCTTTATCCAGTCTCCAGTGGATGAGCAGTTGGGCTGTTTCCAAGTTTCAGCTATTACAAACTGTGCCACTGTAAACATGGCTGCGCATATATCACTGTGGTATGATTCTTTTAGTTCTTTTGGGAAGATACCCAGTAGAGGAATAGCTGCGTCAAATGGGGCCTCTAATTCTAGTTTTTTGAGGTATCTCCATATAGATTGGATATTTTATATTTTTTCACTTAAAATAATAAGAATATATTTAAAAGAATTTAAGTGTAAGAAAATTTGTAATTCTGTAGCATTCTGGTGTAACTATTCCTAGCATTTCAGCCTTCTTTACACACGCGTGTGCGTGTGTGTATACACACACATATACATATATGCGTATATAATATATATATATATATATTTTGTACCAGGGATTGAACAAGACCTCACACTTGCTAAGCTACATTCCCAGCCATTTTGTTTCATAGATAGTTTTATTCCCCCACCCTCCTCCCCTCCCTGAATGCTTAGGATTGGACCTAGGGCTTTTGCACTGAGTTTCGTCCCCAGCCCTTTGGCTCTTTTATTTTTTTATTTTGAGACAATCTCAGGCTGGATTTGAACTTGCTATCCAGCCCCAGCCTCCCAGATTGCTGGGATTACAGATGTGGGCCACCACATCCAGCTCTCGGCATCTCTTTTAATTTCTA